TCACCAGCCTGACAACCCGATCAGAGTTCTGCACCAGTGGCTTATGCAGAAAAAGGATGCTGTCGAAAAACTTTAGAAGATGAATGTTTTTCTACCCGAGAGGCGTCTTCAACGAAGGCCTGTCAATATTCTATTGAAAACAACCTTTAAAAAGTCATTACATTATGTATGGCCGCGGCACCATAATGTCAGCCATTTTACACCTGAAAAGTTTAAAATGAAAACAGCCACTATGTTGTTACATTAATCCATCTAAATGTAACGCAGAAGTCATGAAAAATTAATTTAAACATTCATCCAAAGTACAAGATGACAACCAGTGGAGACTTATTTGGTTTCGTCAACTCCCAGAGGAAATTCATTTCGAGCTGATGGTAAGCAAATATTGCATTAAGTAATGTTTGACGTTCGCGTTTTTGCAGTCGTGGGAGCCATACTGATTACGGGCGTATATCATGGCGACTTGGGTCTGACAAGAATCAACGCGGAGGTCAGATTGTTGACTCGCTGGGGTATAGAATCGCCAGCTTGCTTATTAAATGTCAGCTTGACCGGTGTCATTGATGCTCACTGAGATCCTGTGACACATCATGGTAGTAACACAATGTGACCGGGAGATACATTATGCCAATGTTGTTTAGTCTCAGCGATGCTAGCTGGCTTCTGCAAGTCGGGATCTGGATTACTGACTCGTCCGTGGAGGCTATTTGTCAGGATATAAGTAGCGGAGAAATTAATCATGTCATTACAGGATAATGCATAGCGATAACATCAATTTGTTTTTTTTGGAGTTAAACATTTTTTATACTGATTGGGGACAGTGATACGTTGAATCACGTCTTCGCTAAAAAGTAGTTTTTGATAGAGGAAACATACAGCAAAATGACTGATATTAAGTAATCGTTATGGCGTATAATTACCAACTGCATTATTTTATCAACTATTGTCATGTTACATTTTGTATAATTTACTTATGACATTCACCATGTAGTTTGACGAATAATGTGTGAAGCCCATTTCTGGTGTCCCCCGCCGTGACATTGCTGGAATATTGCTAAAAGCGGCGTAAAACCATACTCACTCACTCACTCACTCACTCACTCACTCACTTTGACGAATATGTAACGATGGCTGTGTACACAATGCTGGGTCACTGAATAAAACAACCAGGAACAAGTTAAACTCTTCAAACGGGACAATTGGAATAAATTGTACGGATCAGGAGTGAGTGAGTGAGTGAGTGAGTGAGTGAGTGAGTGAGTGAGTGAGTGAGTGAATAATGTTGTACGATATTTCAGCCATTGCCGGCGGGGGAAACCGAAAATAGGCCTCAGATATCATGCTCCTCAGGAGAATCGAAAGTATTTTTGGCCTGACGGGCGACGCTCAACTCTTAACTCAACTCTAGTCTGTCGCAGCAGGTGAGGTAAAACTGGGTTTAACGTCGCGTCCAAGATTAGTGCACTTATATAGCGACGTGCATGCACGTGTGTGTGTGTGTGTGGATGCTTGTACTAGTCCGGACTGATGCCGATTTAAAGTGCTAGCTCAGTGAGATACCATGATGCAGTTTAACATGAATACCCCACTCAGACACAGTATACTGACTCCAGTCCAGTCCAGGACCAACAAGTCCTTGTGTTAGCCCCAGAGCGCCAGGCAGGGTAACAACAAGTACCGTCTATGACGCGGCCGGGGATCGAACTCGGACCTTCCGCTCTCCGGGCGGACGCTCTACCACGTGGATGTGGTCCCCTCATTTAGGAGTCACGGACAACGGAATATGACTATTTACACTTTCGAATCTGTGAAACAGTACAATTAGGCGTACCTGTACAAGTAGGCTGAGTTATACCGGGATGTCACGGAAGGTGTCGATACCTGTTCGGTGTCATTCGGTTGAGCGCAACAGTAGGTGGAACTTACAGCTGTGATGTCACGGAAGGCGACCGTAGCTGATATGTGACAGGAGATGGAGTACAGCTGTGATGTCACGGAAGGCGACGGAGCCTGATCTGTGACAGAAGGTGGAGTACAGCTGTGATGTCACGGAAGGCGACCGTAGCTGATCTGTGACAGAAGGTGGAACTTACAGCTGTGATGTCACGGAAGGCGACCGTAGCTGATCTGTGACAGTAGGTGGAACTTACAGCTGTGATGTCACGGAAGGCGACCGTAGCTGATCTGTGACAGAAGGTGGAGTACAGCTGTGACGTCACGGAAGGCGACCGTAGTTGATCTGTGACAGAAGGTGGAGTACAGCTGTGATGTCACGGAAGGCGGCCGTAGCTGATCTGTGACAGTAGGTGGAGTACAGCTGTGATGTCACGGAAGGCGACCGTAGTTGATCTGTGACAGAAGGTGGAGTACAGCTGTGATGTCACGGAAGGCGACCGTAGCTGATCTGTGACAGTAGGTGGAGTACAGCTGTGATGTCACGGAAGGCGACCGTAGTTGATATGTGACAGTAGGTAGAGTACAGCTGTGATGTCACGGAAGGCGACCGTAGTTGATATGTGACAGAAGGTGGAGTACAGCTGTGATGTCACGGAAGGCGACCGTAGCTGATCTGTGACAGTAGGTGGAGTACAGCTGTGATATCATGGAAGGCGACCGTAGTTGATATGTGACAGTAGGTAGAGTACAGCTGTGATGTCACGGAAGGCGACCGTAGTTGATATGTGACAGAAGGTGGAGTACAGCTGTGATGACACGGAAGGCGACGGAGCCTGATCTGTGACAGAAGGTGGAGTACAGCTGTGATGTCACGGAAGGCGACCGTAGCTGATCTGTGACAGAAGGTGGAACTTACAGCTGTGATGTCACGGAAGGCGACCGTAGCTGATCTGTGACAGTAGGTGGAACTTACAGCTGTGATGTCACGGAAGGCGACCGTAGCTGATCTGTGACAGAAGGTGGAGTACAGCTGTGACGTCACGGAAGGCGACCGTAGTTGATCTGTGACAGAAGGTGGAGTACAGCTGTGATGTCACGGAAGGCGGCCGTAGCTGATCTGTGACAGTAGGTGGAGTACAGCTGTGATGTCACGGAAGGCGACCGTAGTTGATCTGTGACAGAAGGTGGAGTACAGCTGTGATGTCACGGAAGGCGACCGTAGCTGATCTGTGACAGTAGGTGGAGTACAGCTGTGATGTCATGGAAGGCGACCGTAGTTGATATGTGACAGTAGGTAGAGTACAGCTGTGATGTCACGGAAGGCGACCGTAGTTGATATGTGACAGAAGGTGGAGTACAGCTGTGATGTCACGGAAGGCGACCGTAGCTGATCTGTGACAGTAGGTGGAGTACAGCTGTGATATCATGGAAGGCGACCGTAGTTGATATGTGACAGTAGGTAGAGTACAGCTGTGATGTCACGGAAGGCGACCGTAGTTGATATGTGACAGAAGGTGGTGTACAGCTGTGATGACACGGAAGGCGACGGAGCCTGATCTGTGACAGAAGGTGGAGTACAGCTGTGATGTCACGGAAGGCGACCGTAGCTGATCTGTGACAGTAGGTGGAGTACAGCTGTGATGTCACGGAAGGCGACCGTAGCTGATCTGTGACAGTAGGTGGAGTACAGCTGTGATGTCACGGAAGGCGACCGTAGCTGATCTGTGATTTAAGGTGGAGTACAGCTGTGATGTCACGGAAGGCGACGGAGCCTGATCTGTGACAGAAGGTGGAGTTCAGCTGTGATGTCACGGAAGGCGACGGAGCCTGATCTGTGACAGAAGGTGGAGTACAGCTCTGACGTCATGGAAGGCGACCGTAGCTGATCTGTGACAGTAGGTAGAGTACAGCTGTGATGTCATGGAAGGCGACCGTAGTTGATATGTGACAGTAGGTAGAGTACAGCTGTGATGTCACGGAAGGCGACCGTAGCTGATCTGTGATTTAAGGTGGAGTACAGCTGTGATGGAAGGCGACCGTAGTTGATATGTGACAGTAGGTAGAGTACAGCTGTGATGTCACGGAAGGCGACCGTAGTTGATATGTGACAGGAGGTAGAGTACAGCTGTGACGTCACGGAAGGCGACCGTAGTTGATATGTGACAGTAGGTGGAGTACAGCTGTGACGTCACGGAAGATGTCAGTAACATGTTCTGTGTTGGTTAAACTGTGTTGTCATATGACGGTACCTGTTCTGACAACTGGCTGGAGCCATGTGGTCACGGAAATTAGAGGTTCCTGTCCTGTGGCTGTTGGGTGGAGCCATGTGGTCACGGAAGTTAATGGTCCCTGTCCTGTGGCTGTTGGGTGGAGCCATGTTGTCACGGAAGTTAATGGTCCCTGTCCTGTGGCTGTTGGGTGGAGCCATGCTGTCACGGAAGTTAATGGTCCCTGTCCTGTGGCTGTTGGGTGGAGCCATGTTGTCACGGAAGTTAATGGTCCCTGTCCTGTGGCTGTTGGGTGGAGCCATGTTGTCACGGAAGTTAATGGTCCCTGTCCTGTGGCTGTTGGGTGGAGCCATGCTGTCACGGAAGTTAATGGTCCCTGTCCTGTGGCTGTTGGGTGGAGCCATGTGGTCACGGAAGTTAATGGTCCCTGTCCTGTGGCTGTTGGGTGGAACCATGTGGTCACGGAAGTTAATGGTCCCTGTCCTGTGGCTGTTGGGTGGAGCCATGTGGTCACGGAAGTTAATGGTCCCTGTCCTGTGGCTGTTGGGTGGAGCCATGTTGTCACGGAAGTTAATGGTCCCTGTCCTGTGGCTGTTGGGTGGAGCCATGTTGTCACGGAAGTTAATGGTCCCTGTCCTGTGGCTGTTGGGTGGAGCCATGTTGTCACGGAAGTTAATGGTCCCTGTCCTGTGGCTGTTGGGTGGAGCCATGCTGTCACGGAAGTTAATGGTCCCTGTCCTGTGGCTGTTGGGTGGAGCCATGCTGTCATGGAAGTTAATGGTCCCTGTCCTGTGGCTGTTGGGTGGAGCCATGTTGTCACGGAAGTTAATGGTCCCTGTCCTGTGGCTGTTGGGTGGAGCCATGCTGTCACGGAAGTTAATGGGTGTCTGTCCTGTGGCTGTTGGGTGGAGCCATGTTGTCACGGAAGTTAATGGTCCCTGTTCTGTGGCTGTTGGGTGGAGCCATGTGGTCACGGAAGTTAATGGTCCCTGTCCTGTGGCTGTTGGGTGGAGCCATGTTGTCACGGAAGTTAATGGTCCCTGTCCTGTGGCTGTTGGGTGGAGCCATGTGGTCACGGAAGTTAATGGTCCCTGTCCTGTGGCTGTTGGGTGGAGCCATGTTGTCACGGAAGTTAATGGTCCCTGTCCTGTGGCTGTTGGGTGGAGCCATGTTGTCACGGAAGTTAATGGTCCCTGTCCTGTGGCTGTTGGGTGGAGCCATGCTGTCACGGAAGTTAATGGTCCCTGTCCTGTGGCTGTTGGGTGGAGCCATGTGGTCACGGAAGTTAATGGTCCCTGTCCTGTGGCTGTTGGGTGGAGCCATGTGGTCACGGAAGTTAATGGTCCCTGTCCTGTGGCTGTTGGGTGGAGCCATGTTGTCACGGAAGTTAATGGTCCCTGTCCTGTGGCTGTTGGGTGGAGCCATGTTGTCACGGAAGTTAATGGTCCCTGTCCTGTGGCTGTTGGGTGGAGCCATGTTGTCACGGAAGTTAATGGTCCCTGTCCTGTGGCTGTTGGGTGGAGCCATGTTGTCACGGAAGTTAATGGTCCCTGTCCTGTGGCTGTCTGGTGGAGCCATGTTGTCATGGAAGTTAATGGTCCCTGTCCTGTGGCTGTTGGGTGGAGCCATGTTGTCACGGAAGTTAATGGTCCCTGTCCTGTGGCTGTTGGGTGGAGCCATGTTGTCACGGAAGTTAATGGTCCCTGTCCTGTGGCTGTTGGGTGGAGCCATGTTGTCACGGAAGTTAATGGTCCCTGTCCTGTGGCTGTTGGGTGGAGCCATGTTGTCACGGAAGTTAATGGTCCCTGTCCTGTGGCTGTTGGGTGGAGCCATGTTGTCACGGAAGTTAATGGTCCCTGCCCTGTGGCTGTTGGGTGGAGCCATGTTTTCATGGAAGTTAATGGTCCCTGTCCTGTGGCTGTTGGGTGGAGCCATGTTGTCATGGAAGTTAATGGTCCCTGTCCTGTGGCTGTTGGGTGGAGCCATGTTGTCACGGAAGTTAATGGTCCCTGTCCTGTGGCTGTTGGGTGGAGCCATGTTGTCACGGAAGTTAATGGTCCCTGTCCTGTGGCTGTTGGGTGGAGCCATGTTGTCACGGAAGTTAATGGTCCCTGTCCTGTGGCTGTTGGGTGGAGCCATGCTGTCACGGAAGTTAATGGTCCCTGTCCTGTGGCTGTTGGGTGGAGCCATGTTGTCACGGAAGTTAATGGTCCCTGTCCTGTGGCTGTTGGGTGGAGCCATGTTGTCACGGAAGTTAATGGTCCCTGTCCTGTGGCTGTTGGGTGGAGCCATGTGGTCACGGAAGTTAATGGTCCCTGTCCTGTGGCTGTTGGGTGGAGCCATGTTGTCACGGAAGTTAATGGTCCCTGTCCTGTGGCTGTTGGGTGGAGCCATGTGGTCACGGAAGTTAATGGTCCCTGTCCTGTGGCTGTTGGGTGGAGCCATGCTGTCACGGAAGTTAATGGTCCCTGTCCTGTGGCTGTTGGGTGGAGCCATGTTGTCACGGAAGTTAATGGTCCCTGTCCTGTGGCTGTTGGGTGGAGCCATGCTGTCACGGAAGTTAATGGGTGTCTGTCCTGTGGCTGTTGGGTGGAGCCATGTGGTCACGGAAGTTAATGGTCCCTGTTCTGTGGCTGTTGGGTGGAGCCATGTGGTCACGGAAGTTAATGGTCCCTGTCCTGTGGCTGTTGGGTGGAGCCATGTTGTCACGGAAGTTAATGGTCCCTGTCCTGTGGCTGTTGGGTGGAGCCATGTTGTCACGGAAGTTAATGGTCCCTGTCCTGTGGCTGTTGGGTGGAGCCATGTTGTCACGGAAGTTAATGGTCCCTGTCCTGTGGCTGTTGGGTGGAGCCATGTTTTCATGGAAGTTAATGGTCCCTGTCCTGTGGCTGTTGGGTGGAGCCATGTTGTCATGGAAGTTAATGGTCCCTGTCCTGTGGCTGTTGGGTGGAGCCATGTGGTCACGGAAGTTAATGGTCCCTGTCCTGTGGCTGTTGTCGGAGCCATGTTGTCACGGAAGTTAATGGTCCCTGTCCTGTGGCTGTTGTCGGAGCCATGTTGTCACGGAAGTTAATGGTCCCTGTCCTGTGGCTGTTGGGTGGAGCCATGTTGTCATGGAAGTTAATGGTCCCTGTCCTGTGGCTGTTGGGTGGAGCCATGCTGTCATGGAAGTTAATGGTCCCTGTCCTGTGGCTGTTGGGTGGAGCCATGCTGTCACGGAAGTTAATGGGTGTCTGTCCTGTGGCTGTTGGGTGGAGCCATGTGGTCACGGAAGTTAATGGTCCCTGTCCTGTGGCTGTTGGGTGGAGCCATGTGGTCACGGAAGTTAATGGTCCCTGTCCTGTGGCTGTTGGGTGAAGCTGCGTTGGATATCACGGGCGTTTCTGAGGAGGGTGTATAAACATACTTGTCAAACGTGAAGACACCGGTTCTCTGGTCGTTTCGTTCCACTTGAAAATGAATAACTTATCAGATATCATCAGGGTTTCTGCATAAAATATGAATGACAAAAAATCATCTGTCACTCATGTTGTTTTTTTATTGTGTGTGTTGAAAAAATATCAAAATAGTAATGTACCTCGAACAGGAATAACAGCGCACTGCGACGAAAGTTCATCACACGTATTCGCAATGTGAATGTGCTGTGACTTACACGTTCATTATATCATTTCCCGCAAAGCGTAAATAATAGATGACATCTGCAAAAAGATCTATTCTTCTTGCGATGTGGATGCCAACAAAGCAGGAAAAAGTCGTGTGTTTGGTTTATGCTGCTTTGAACAGTATTAAAATTGTATCACCGCGTGTCGGATAAGTGTGAGAAAAAGGACAAATATTATGCGGGTCTTAGACGTTCAATAAAGTCGTGCAACCAACGAGAATGGAAATAACAAACCAAATATCATAATCAGAGCGAATCTGGATTGAACCGCGAGCATAGATTTTCTGTCATACCGAATGGATACCGTTCTTGCCCACATTTGTTTGTTTGTGTGTTTGTTCGTTGTTTAACGCCGCACTCAGCAATATACCAGCTTCTTGATTGCGGTCTGTAAATAATTGAGTGTGGACCAGACAATTCAATGATTTACATCATGAACATCGATCCACGCAAATAGGATCGATGACATGCATCAACCAAGTCAGCGAGCCTGACCACCCGATCCCGTTAGTCGCCTCTTACGACAAGCATAGTCTCCTCTTATGGTAATGGGGCACGGGTGGCCCAGTCATCTAAGGCGCCGCGATTCGCTGTGCAGAGTTGCGTCCCTTTGGTTCACCAGAAACCTATGATTGTGGGTTCGAATCCCGGTTCGCCCCGATCATGTATCTAGGTTTGTCAGCACCATATCCATACCCGTGGGTTTCACCGAAGTGGTAAACGTCTGAGACCTGCATCACTTCGGGCTTTCCTCCCACATTGAGCTGATAGGCCGTGATATAACTGGAATACTGTTAAAAGCGACGTTAAACCGAACTCACTTTTATGGCAAGCATGGGTTGCTGAAGACCTATTCTACCCCGGATCGTCACAGGTCTCTTGCCCACATATACAGAAGTACTATGAAAGAACAGATAACAATGCGCTTCACACAATGTATCCATGTTGAGAATCGATTCCATGTATTCTGCGTGATGAGGCAACGCTTTTACCACGAGGCTACCCAGACGCCCCTTTGCTTGGTTCTGCGTGGATTCTATATGGGCATTGTTATGGCCATGACAACTACCAAGGGCCATGTGCAGGATTCACCTGTGTCAAGATTCTGGCAGACAAATCTTATCTCGACAGACGTCCTTGGGTCATACAAGCATGCTATTTCCGATTCAATAAAGCTCCTAACCTTTCTGGATACTAGAATGTGGCATATAGAAGCATCGCACAGTCTGTCCTCATCACGACCATCTCCTTCAAGGCAGCGTTGCATTCCATAACGCCAATATTGAAAGCAAACACAGTGTTTGTGCTGGAGTGCTCTTAAGAAACCTTTGTAAGCCCTATTATCTTCGGTCCAAAATAGCTACAGAATTCGGTAATGCCACTGCAGAGCGGGGGAACAATATGACCCCCACGTGTTGCCATACTGGCCAGTTTTCACGCCTACCGCAGGTCTGTGGTCAATCAGAGGGTTGCATGTTGCGACCAGAAACCCAACAGCATAGCGGCCATCTTGACATCAGATGCTCGTGCAAACCGTGTTTCCCTATAGAGAAGTCTTTGTTGCTGCAATGCATGTTTCCCATGAAGACATGCACGGGCGGGTAAATCGTGCCTCCCCATAGAGAAGAGTGAATTTCGTGCTCGTGGATGGCCGAAGACGTGTGGCTCCAGATGTAGTCCATGATGAAGTTTTGTGGATGTATGATGTTGTACAAAGAGGTCAGTGGAGAATACAAAGATTGCACGGCTCTTTGATTTCCATTTGGGAATAACAAATAAGGTCTATGATATGCATCGCGTGGTAGGAATGTCTTTCTACAACACACAATAAATAACAGACTTTCTGCTTGTTGCCAATGCCAGGAATCATACCATATGATGGTCTATGTTGATGCATTAATCCAATTATCTCAGTCACTTAAGTACCCGTGAAGATTCGGGGTAGAATAGGTCTTCAGCAATCCATGCTTGCCGTAAAAGGTGACTATGCTTGTCGTAAACGGTGACTATGCTTGTCGTAAGAGGCGACTAACGGGATCGGGTGGTCAGGCTCGCTGACTTGGTTGATGCATGTCATCGATCCCATTTGCGTGGATCGATGCTCATGATGTGAATCACTGGATTGTCCACACTCGATTATTTACCGACCGCCGTCAAGAAGCTGAGTGCGGCGTTAAACAACAAACAAACAAACAGTCACTCACTAAAGAATAGATTTTTGATTCGTCTGTACGATCCGGTGTTGGCAGAACAATACAATATGGGAAATTACAAACTGCATATCTTTAGCCATGTTCCGGTAATAACTGTGCAAAATAACGGTATATTGACAATTGACTGACGTCAGAGTGAGTTTGGAGTTTGGTGAACACAACTTTTAACATTATTTCAGCTATGATCGGGTGAGTGAGTGAGTGAGTGAGTGAGTGAGTATGGTTTTGCGTTTGTTTTAACAAAATTCAAGCAATGTCATTGCAGGGGACACCAGAAATGGGTTTCACACATATTTTTACATTCCCACTTGAGGAATCGAACGCATGCCTTCGGCGTGACGAGCGAACGCTTTAACCACTGGTCTACCAAACCAACCAATTTCAGTTATGTGACCGTGTCAGCGTAATGCGTAATGCAATGCGTGCGTGCGTGCGTGCGTGGTGTACAGCCCCAAACAAGGCACATCCAGACGCCTGCAAATTATGTGAAACCCACGTACACGAGTCCGGTGCAGACAAACCAGTGATCATAATCCGGACAAATCGGGGATTCGAACCGACGGTCAGAAGATCCTGCGACACATCGCCGTCAGTTCACGTGCTTATCATATTCCAAAATACTCACATTGGACACATATTTGATGCATATACCTTTCGATTTGTTCAGATAAGTATATTGTCAAATCGCTTGACTAGAATGTTTTTCAATCAACCTCTTTTCAGACCAAAATTATGTCTTTTGAAATTGCCCGCAGCATGTCCTGCATATGAAACCGTCATGCTGTATGCAATATGGTGTATGCCTGCGGACATTCTTATCATTGCATAACCTGCCAGACATATCTCGGAGTTGTTCAATGCGCTCGGGAAACAACAAGGACCAACCGGTTCGTGTGTAAAAACGGTTGAAAGGAATATCTCCAGATACTGTTTGGAGATAAGTAAAGCTTGTAGTATGGCACCAAGGTTGGTAAATATGGTTTTAATTAGGTGGTCAAATTTGAGGTGAGAATGTATATTTATGTTGTCTGTAGCGCTATCTTTGATCGCGCGCGCGGCTGTGGTGCGGGCATGTGTTTGTAGCGTGTGTGGCGCGTGGGGGACACTCGGCCAAGATAAACATGCGCAGTAGGTTCCTCAATGGCGTGAAGATCGCGGGCCGGGTAAGCAATTATACAATATGTGAAGGGTAAAGAGGATCTATGGGAGATTATGATCGTCAATCTGTGCTTATGCAGTAAATAGAATTACTTAAATAAACTGCATGCTAGGAAATTGCTGGTGCTACGTATCTGTGAGTTGTTACACATCAAAGTTTGAACAGAATTATTCTGATTTGAGCCATGCGTATGAGATACACTCGTTGGTTATCAAAATTTCCAGTTTCTTGTGATGTCGATTATGAAAATATTTTGCATCAGATTTTAAGCTTAGCTATTCAAAGCCGTTTGCAATTGCAGTGAAAACGATTCTCATATCAACTTTGCCAAGGAGTGTTTTTAGAACCCGTTGGAGTCTAAAACAAAACTGAATTTTAAGATTCTATTTTTATAGACTACAAATACATGACGCCCTCAATGTACACAAAGTATGATGAGAATTCAGAACCCTAAATAATAAACGTTTACACGTCCTGTCCATGTTTACACAAAAAGCGTATTTTTTTCACCTAT